GAGGAGTCACAAGACCAACTGCAGAGGAAAGAACACTCTGAAGAATTTGCAGTTCTGCAGAGAAAGAGCCCCTTCCCTTTTCTCATATTTTTACCTATATAAACCCCCATGAAAGACCTGGGACTTTGAAATTGTTTTAGCCTGGCTGTCTCCCAGGTTGCTGCTTCCTGAATAAAGCTTCCTACTCTCCCACCAGCACCTGGGACTCTCCACTCATTTGTTTCCTAAGTGGAGAACAGTTGAACTTGGGTAGCCAGTAGCATCATCTATGCTTGTATTGATCTGAAGATAGCTATCCATTAAGAAAACAAGCTACATTCAAGGTGAGGCATGTAAAGATGTAAATGTTAATGAATAGTAATGAAATATTTTTATTCAGTACAAATTAAATAATTTATCTGAACCAATGACATGAACTAAACACATCACACTATTTTTCAACTCCATGGCTACTTTTTTCTGCCTCCACGTATTCCACATATAGTCCAGACTCTCTTAAAATATATCTTCTTCATTTGAAGTAAAGACACTTTTTAAAATCTATGCTATCTACCAGAAGCCATTGTTAGTTTCTTTTGTTTGTTTGTTTTTATTTAACAAAAGCATTTATCTTCAAAAATCAGTGTTTGTTAGTGGTAATTCTAGTATTTATCTTTCCAAATTCTCTTCATTGCTTTTTCAATGGTTCATTTTGCAGTGTATTCTTTAGCCTTTTATAGATTCTTTCTTTCTCCCAACAGATGAATATGTTTCTTCTGTTTTGGTTTTACTTGTCCTCATTAGGCAGGTGTTATTCACAGAATTCTATTTATAATTTCAGTCCTTTGGTGTTAAGAAATTTAGTGTATTCGGTAATGGGCCACAATAATCAACCACATTGTATGTTGACAAAATAAAATAAAATTTTTTAAAAAAAGAAATTTAATGTATACATAGTTGTTGATTAGTTTATGTGACTCTTAGCATGTCCTGTATGCAACATTCTTATCTATATCTATCTATATCTGTTTTTAGGACATAGAAACTACAATATAATTTTGATCATATTGTGTTTCCTTCTATCAAACAAGTCCTATTTTGTTTTAAACAAAATATATTAATCAAAATTGTCAAACTACTTATATATTCACCAATAATTTTATAATTAAAGTTAAGCTCTTAGCATGTTACAGTGGAAAGAAAATTCTCTGATTTATACTTAATGTTTGGCATCATTTAGTATCATTGAGTAATATATCAGTTCAGGGGATAAGTCTATAAGGGAACTGGTGATATTCTAGTAGGCCCAGAACAATTCCTCTTTCTCCAAAGGAGAAGCAGAAAGAAACACGGTGAAGAGAATGAAAATAGAAGAGTGTATGCAGCCTCTATGGAAAATCGTATGGAGGTACCTCAAACAATTGCAGATAGATCTGCCATATGACCCAGCTATCCCACTGCTGGGAATTTACCCAGAGAAATGGAAATCATCAAGTCAAAGGTATACCTGTTCCCCAATGTTCATTGTAGCACTCTTTACAATAGCCAAGAGTTGGAACCAGCCCAAATGTCCATCATCGGATGAGTGGATACGGAAAATGTGGTATATCTACACAATGGAATACTACTCAGCTATAAAAACGAATGAAATACTGCCATTTGCAACAACATGGATGGACCTTGAGAGAATTATATTAAGTGAAACAAGTCAGGCACAGAAAGAGAAATACCATATGTTCTCACTTATTGGTGGGAGCTAAAAATAAATAAATAAATTCACACACACACACACACAAAAAAAAAAAAACTGGGGAGGGGGTGGGAAGAAGACATAACAACTACAATTCCTTGAAGTTGTTACGACAAGCAAACAGAAAGGACATTGTTGGGAGGGAGGGGAGAGAGGGAGGAGGGAGGGGGGTTTTGGTAAAGGGCCACAATAATCAACCTCATTGTATATCGACAAAATAAAAATAAGAAAAAAAGAAAAGAAAGAAAGAAAATAGAAGAGTGGAGGATGACAGATGAATGATATGAGGGGAGGAGCACGGAAATGCGTGTGGCTGTGAGGGGCGAAGAGATGTAGAAGAGAGAAGGCAGAGAAACTTGAGGAATAAAGTAATGAGGGCAGAGAAAAGATGAAATTACAGCCCCCACTGTCCAATCAACGTTAAAATACAAGTCCCACAAAAAGAAAAAAATTGGAATGGCTTAACTGTTAGAAGAGAATTAAATGCTAATGGAACAGGGTACCTGATCAGGTAACTAGTGACAAAACCCAATGTAGAATTAAGAAAGAAGATAATCAATGGACTCACTGAGAGACAAATTCATGCATTTTATGACTTCTTTCATGAAAGAAGTACTAAAATTATTTAATATCTCTTCTTTTTATCAATAATATTTACGCGCGCGTGTGTGTGTGTGTGTGTGTCTGTGTGTCTGTGTGTGACTGAAACCAAAGGCACCACATAAAAAGTCATGGCCAATTAAGCTTCATGATTCTACTTGTTGGGAAGAGCCAGGGCTGGCATTCTATGGCCACCAACCTTCCCTTCAGCAGAGCCAGCTGCCACAACCTCCAGAAACATCTCCCTGGCAGTGGAAAGCTTTGGGGAAGGGTACTTTTTTCCTGAAGTGTATCGTTTTTACTAATTCAATTCTTGGGAATCTGTTTATTCTTTTTTGCTTATTTGTTGTGTTTACATTAGAGAATGGTTTAGTATTCAGCCTTTGTGCATTTCATTTGAACTAACCATTAGACTCTAATTTTTTTTGTGTGGAAAGTAGTTACCATAACTATATGAGTCCTGCTTCCCCCAATAACATTTTTATTTGATTTTATTTCATGTTCCTACAGAGATAACCAGGGGCATGGGTGTAAGATTATTTAAAAGAAGGAAAAAAATCCCTCAGCATTAATATGAGAAAATCAAAAAGTTGAAATATTTCAATATATTGTGTACTTTCCCCTGGCTTCTGTCCTCCATTTTTTTTTTCTTTCCTTGGCTTGGCCTTCATTAATAGTCTTTTTGTATCTTCTTGGCTGCTTCTGGAAGTACTTATTTTGGAAACTATGGTGACTCAGATGTTGTTACAACAAATTCTGAGAATGTATTATTAGGGTGTACCAAGTCACTTGTATAGCATAGCGCACGCAAAGTTACTCAATGAGAAATACTGTAGGCACCTAGTAAATGTTTAACAGTATAATATTACCAATATTTTTTAAGTAGTTAGACATTACAGGTTTTTTTCAGTTCTGTCAAAATATAATTGCTATATCCCACCTAAAGCTATTAAAATCTAATTTGTGAGGCAGAGGGAATTGAGAAACAATCTTATGACACTGAACAGGCATCACTGGAATGATTCACCTGACAAGAGAGACCAATCAAATGAGTGAAGGGAGTGATTAATATTAAATTTATTGTATCAGTAAATTTAAAGTTGAATGGAAAATTTTTTTTAAAGTTCTGACATAAGCAAAGAGATTGAATTAGTTGTGAGTTGGACTTTGTCCCCAATCTACTTAAAAATAGAGGTACATTCAAATTTTAAAAATCTGAGACAATCAAAACTGCCTCTCTGAATCATTCCCACCAGATAAAACCACCAGAAATGCAGAATGACTGCTAAATTATATCACAAGAGTAAGTAATTAACATTAGATAATAAGGCCTCTAGACAACATGAAGCAGCAGTAAAATTCATCCCATAAACAGAGATAGGATGGAAAGATGGGATGACCCAAAAAATCCTTTGGGCTCCTTGTACAGTGCTCCTAGACAGGTGCATGTTTGGGCAGCATGAAATTATAAAGTTAACAACTTATCGAGCATTTTCTTTTATGTCAACTTTGATTCTCCCAGCAGCTTTGTGAAGGGGACAATATTGGATTGTCCATGTTGCAGAGGAGGAGTTTGAGCTCTAAGAGGTTACTGCCTTTTCAAGTTTGTCAACTATGAAGTGGAGTCAGGATTTCAACTTAAATCTGCTGACACCAAATCCAGTGGTTTTTCCATCATGTTCTCAATGGGATCCCCTGGAGAGGGACTGTGAGCACCTGGAGGCAGGGAAAAAGAAGAGCTTGACAACAAGAACGTGGGAATTAAGAAGTGAAGAGATGAGCACAGGAAAAAGAATGAGCTAAAAATAAAAACATGTTTTGCCTATTAAATGATTTCAAGTATGAAACTATGGTAAACTTGAAAATGTTCCACAAGTGTTATGTCTAAACAGTGCCTGATCATATACACAGAAAAGGAAAATAACTCTCTTCTCTCTTCTTTTTTCTCCCTATTTTTATCTTCTACCATAGAGGCCCTGGCTCTGTGATTCCGAATGAAGACTTGTAAATAAGACAGGGCTGGATCGTGATCAAGAGTTGAGATCTTACATCAAAACTTCAGGGTTTGAAAATCCATTCTTGTCACTTGCCACTTGTGTGTTAAATTACTGAATCTAAGTCTCAGTTTTCCATCTTTAAAATTAGGAAAACAATAATTAGTGTCTACCAGGGTTTTGGTGAAAATTAAAGTGGGTCTTTCAAGTCACATGCTTCGCAGAGTGCTTGGCTCACAGCATATACTCAATGAAGGTTAGCTCCTCTTACTAATATCATTAGTTCAGCTTCAGGTGAGATAAACACGATTTTGCACACTAACTTGGTAAATTAATCACACTGAATAAGATTGTTTCTTTGGAAAAAAGCATTCTGAGTTTTGATAAACCATGAATGGGGTTCTGAGTAAGTTACAAGCTGCCTAAGAAAGAAGTGACGTTGATCTTAACTTTGAAGTAAGTATAGTGAATGCCATGCTATAACTTTAACCAGTGTAAACTGAACCAAGGAGAAATGGGGTGGATATTCTATATGACACAGATGGAAGAAAAACATTGCTAAGAAGCATGGTCTATCCCTTGCAGTTGCACCTGCATTGAATGAATACTACAATCTCATACAATTCGGCTAATGTGAAGAATCAGAAAGTTGTTTGAATATAAATGTATTCCCTTCCTTAAGGGGTGGAGACTCTGCCATAGAAAAGAATCATCTTGGTTTTCTTGTGTAGGATAAAGAAGAGAAAGGGATGATCCACCTTGAAGATTTCAGGATTTTCAACTTTGCTTGTTTGGTTGGTAGGTGCTGACTCTGAACCATCCTCAGTAACCTCTACCATGACCTTCTGGATTATCCTGGAGACCACAAGGCGTCCTCCTGTGGTTACGCCAGACAAGTCAGCCCTTGAGTGGTCAAAGACATCAGTCATCCCCAAAGCTGACAGTATGAAAGTTAGATCTCCATGACACTCATCAAGTCTGAGCTGAGGCAGGTACAGATCCACAGCTATGTCTTTCATGTTGGCTGGATCTATCCAGTTTTTTAGTTTCTCATAAGTGATTTCCTTGATAATCTATTGGAAAGAAAGCAGGAAGCAAAAAACAAATGAATTTTATTTAGAAAATAAAATATAGAAAAATGGGAAAAATCCTGAGAGCTGGATGTGACGTTATGAACAGGTAAAGCTGCTTCTTATCATTTTAAAAACCAGATTCTAAGCATTATGTCTCACATGTCAGGTAAAGTGGAGAAAATGCAGCCATGTGCAAAGAATTGTAATTGAAGCATGTAGCCCTCAAATCTATGCCTTGGAACACCATCTGAGGAGTCACCTGGAAAAAAACCATCATGGGGAATTCCTCCTTTTCTCCCTCTTATGATCTCTCTATAACTTGCACAACTTATGTATTATTATTGTATACTTTATAGAAGTGCCTACCCTTTTCTACTGGCCACATTAACAGACATTTTTGGAATATGAGATCCTTCAATTCTGAAAACATAAATTATAATTCTAGACTGACCAATATAACTTTCTACCTCAACTCAAACCAAAATCCTCATTAGTTAAGTATCCATACAGACTGAATTTATATCCAAGTAACATTTCCAGATGATTAGAATCAAATAATCTTAAACTTGAAAGAGACCTGAGAGGAGCTCCTCTCCAGCATTTGTAACCCAATGCAGCATGCACCTGAGAAGTCCTTACATCAGTGGCCATTTCTTTATAAAAACCTCTATAAATGCCTGGCTCCACAGTGACAGAGCTCAGCCTACAAAGAACAGCTTTCCCACTTTGAACAGAAATCTTCTTCCCAGTAATTTCTTCCTATTAGTTTTAGTTTCCCCTCTATGAGCCATACAAAATTATTCCATTCCTTCTTCCATACAGCAACCAAATATTTTAATACAGTCAACATACTCCCGAAATCACTGCTCTATTCTTCCTCATTCACCACACGAAATCTTTTCTGGCTTTTCCTCATTGTTTGTTCTTACTGTGAGGAGGTTCATATTTTCAGTGACTCATTTAGACTATTTGGGGGATGGAATCTACTGGGAAGTAGGCATGTTAGACACTAGCCAATGCAAAATCAAGCAAAAAAAAAAAAAAAGAAAGAAAGAAAAAGGCTAGTTGCACAGAATTTGCTTTGCATTCACCATATATTACTGAGTAACCACTTTCAACTCATAATCACTGACAAAACCAGGGATAACTGTCCTCATCCACAGTGGTGAATTAATGTTAGGAATTCTAACATGAGAAAATTAGCTGGCTATGAAGATCTAGACTCATCTCCCCTCCATTCTTTCCTCTCTAAAATTATTTTATCACACTGTAATTGCACTTCAGAATTTGCCCACTTTTCAGAGATCTTAACATTGTTCTAAAATGCTCCATTTTCATGCCTCAAGTGCAAATACAAAGAGTTGATAATGTAATTATGTAGGTTATATTTGATAAATCCATTTTATTAATTTTTCATAAGATTATCAAATTTAAAAACTAAAAAGAACTCTAGAAACCATCTACTTTAACCTCTGCATTATGTGATTAAAATGAGGCTTGGAGAAGTTAAATGCATGACCCATGGACCTACAGTGAATTTGTGGCAATATTGTTGTCAGGTTTCACTTCTGCTACCAGCAAATGCAGGGCTCCTACACTGTCTAACCACGGGCAAGGAAGCCATTAGTAGTAATAATGTTCAACGTTAATCATTATTGATCAGGCATAATAACTCATATCTCACTTCATCCAAGAGGTTTTCCCTGATAGTCCTATATAAAATATGTGCTTTCCAAATGCTGTCACTATCCCATTTCCATCCCCTATTTTTCTTCACAGCATATAGTAATCATATTATTTCTACATTTGTTTATTTGTTTATATATAAATACACCTAATTATGCATAAGAGCTAAGACTTTGATTTTTCAGCCATGGTCTTAGTGACTCTGAGTAGACATGTAACACCAAGCCTGTAGGGGACTGAGAAGCCAGAGACCAGAGCTCTGAGATGCCATGATATATGGTGAATGCTATGAAAACCTGAGCAAATCATATAATATCCTGGTCTTCAGGTTTCTCCCTCTGTCAAATGGGCTGTTAGTACCTGCCTCACTGCCTCATAGAATCAGCGGGCACCCCTGCCACTAAGGATGGAAAAAAGGGGAAGGGGAGGATAAGAGGTCCTCAGCAGGAGAGAAGCAGGGGTAAGAAATGCAGAGCTACAGAGGAGCACACAAAGCAGAATAAAAGAGGAAAGACAGGGATTTAAAGAAAGCTGCTGAGGAGTTGTTATATCTATCCCAATTCTCAGAGCAAGAACACACTGTGGAATAGATGTGTCCACGTGAGACTCAGGAACATGCCAGAGAAACAAGCAAAAGGCAAAGACTGAGTATTGAGTCTACATTTTGGCTTTTGGTGTTAGAAATAGATTAAGTTGGTTGGTGGCAGGTCTAAAGGAGGTACCGATGTGCAATGCTTGTATGTAAAAAATGCACTTAAAACAACAACAACAAAACCTGTGAGGACCAAATAAGGAAATGCATGTGACTATACTTTGAACACCTAAAACATTTAAGAGTACAAGCAACAAATTCTAGTGTGAGGACATTTACTTTAGGAGTTCTACTTTTCTTTTTTTTTTTTTTTTTTTTTTTTTTTTGATGGACCTGACATTGCATTAAGTACTAGTGCGAGCAATTATTTTAATCCTCAAGCTTTCTACATATGTCATTCTCAAGCACAGAGTCTTTTTCCTTGTGGCTATGGGTGCAGAGACTCGGTGGTTTACCTGTCCCAGGCTGAAGTCCTTGCTGGGGAGGACAATGATCATACTCAGGTGATCCTCTGAGTCAGGCATCTCAAGGACCTGGATGGGAGGCTCCTTAATGGTGCCCAGTCTAAAGTGGCCTTGCAGCCACATCATCTGCACAGTTTTGCTCTGAGACTACAAAAGCAAAAGCAGTGAAATGTCAAAGCCAATCTTTTACTTTTTCTATTTAAGGCATGGAAGATTTATCTTTATATCCATTCTCTGAAATTGCCTACAGTGGATGAAAAAAAAAATCTATCCATCTTTCAACAGAAATATCTATGGTTGATAATTACTGAGATGATTTAAAGTGGGGGTGGCGCATGGAGGAACAGGGAGGAGAGAGAATCCTAAACAAAGCCCCTATTGAAGTACAAAGTTTTTATGTCTCCCAATGTATTATTCTTATTCACATGTACTTTTTTGATTCCCAAAAGCAATTCACTCACTTCGAAGGGCTGAGAAATACTCACACCATAAGAACTTATCAGGATAGCCATTATTAAAGGTCATAGAGGTCCTTTCAAGAACATAATTTGAAATCTCTCCAGCTCAAGTAAAATCTGACTAATCTGGGCTAATCTCCAGCACTGAGATGATTCTGATCATTTTTTAGAGTTACAAAATAGCTAAGAATATAACAAAGTGCTAGGTGAGTTTCTCATAATGAGGAAATTTAGTCATGACCTTAACCATATTTTATGTTTTCCTCTTTGAAATGCTAGCTAGCAGGTTAAAGATGCCTGCGCTGTGTATGTAAACCAAATGGATGAAATTTTACTGTGAAATAAAAGATTCTGCTTTAATTCTTTCTTCTAGCAAATCTGTTTGCTGTGGGGAATGCTTACCCTTTTAAGTATCTCTTTACGAATCCTTCTAAAATATTCATTCCATTTACTATGTACTGTACTGTGATTCCCCAACTGGGCTGATCCTTGGAAGGACCTGGAGAGGCTATTTAAAAATAAGTATACTCAAGCCCTTCTTGTAAATCAGAATCTCCAGGAGGATGGCCACGGAATCTACATTTTTAAAAAGTACATCTGTATTTTCACTATTTATTTTATAACCTCAAAATATGATGGCAATATTCTTGTGAAAGACCTTACAAGAAACTTCTAGATATGAATAATGTGTTTGGCTGGAGGTTTGTGTTTCTCCTTAAAGTCATTCACTATTTATTTTACATGAAAAGGATTTATTAAAAATATAGTCATTATTTTTATAGTTGATGTGAACAAATTTTTAATTTACCTGCAATTTCAAACATTTCTTGGTGGGCTGGAGTAAATACATAGTGATTTAGTTATTATATACAAATCTATTCTTTCTTATTAAACAATGTGTCCTATTTTGGATGTGACCTGATATTTGGGACACTTACTGGGCACTAAGAAAAGAAGTTGGGAAGACTGAGGCTGGTAGAAGAGTAGCAAACCTGGAACCTTCTATGTGACTGTGAACCTCATTTATCCATTGTGCTTTACTTCTTAAGATCATACCCATTTTACAAATGGCCTGCCAGTTAGTTCCTTGATTTGTCTATTGGAGTTATTTCCCATTACCTGACTTTATTTCTAGTTTGCAATAATTGAGTTGCTTAACAATGGTTTAAGCTGAGTCCTAACCCCAACCTATTTTAAATACTTTCAAGGTCTATCTTTTATACCAGTTTTTAATTGTACAACTGTATTGCTAAAAATAGCATCTCTACTTTTCTAGAAGGTAATTACTGTGGAGAATTTAATAGAAAGCTTTGACAACAAAATAAATATGTTATACATATATAAATATGTTATAACCTGCTTTTTATTGAGTGTGGAGCTAGGATCGTCACATGGAAGTTAATTTGTCTATCTAAAGCAAGAAATAATTTGAGCTGGCTGGTTAGCTCAGTTGGTTAGAGAACAGCCTTGTAACACCAAGGTCAAGGGTTCAGTTCCCTGTACTAGCCAGACACCAATAATAATAATAATAAAAGGGAGGATTTTTTAAAAACAAAGAATAATTTAACATACTTTAAGGCCAAAATCTTTTAGGATTACCTTTAACAGAAAAACAAATTAAGCCATAAGACTACCTCATCCAACCTGAAAGCCATTGGTTTGGTTTGGTCTTTCAGAAATGCTTTTTTCCAGTTCCCTCTGAAGGACATGACATTGATCAACACCAACTGATCAGAAGATGTGAGGCTGTTGGGTGATAATAGGCCCTTGATTTCACCTTTGGGAAGAGAAACAGAGTAAGGTCATACCTGATCAGCCATAAAATATTAATTATTTTTACTAATTTTACTTTTATTTTTGAACTGGTATAACTAACTGATGCTCAGTATCTACAGATGAGCCAAAAAGACTTTTGAGCAAATATGTATTCACAGTACTTTAATAAATGACTAATGTAAAATGCAGAATTAAAAAGAGTGAGTAGATAACCCATCTACCTATTTAATGGCAACATACAAAATTGTGGATAAAGTTTTCTCATCATACTATTAATAAATGTTATACTGTCAATATGTCTTTGTCTCTCTACCTTCAGTAAAATACTTACAATAAAAATAATTTGGATTCCAGATGGAGCAAAACTCAAATGTTAAAAAAAAAGAACAATAATAATTTTCTGAGAAAATCTAGCATAATTTCTAACATGTACATTTACACGTACCCTTTGACCTAGCAATTCCACTGCTAGATTGTTATCCAGCAGTAGTGAAAACATATGTACATAAAAAGCCTTCTACAAGAATGTTCATAGCAGCATTATTTAGTATCTCCAAACTGAAAACAACCCAGAAGCTAATCAACAGGAGAATAGATAAACAAAGTGTGATATATTCATGAAGTAAAAAAATTGTGGTATATACAAAACAGTAAAAAGAAGTGAACCACTGAAATGCTCAACAGCATAAGTTAATTCCAAAATTAATATGCTCAGTATAAAAAAAGACACAAAAAGGCACATGCTATACCATTTCATTAACTTGAAGTTTTAGAATAAGCTAATCTGTGGTAATAGAAATTCGATCAGTAGTTGCTTGGAAGTGGTTGATTGGGACAGGCAAAGAGATACTCTGTGGGCTGTTGGGTATGCCCTGTCTTGATGTGTATTTGTCAAAACTGGCTAAGTATCCTCACTCCTCATGATCTGAGTATTTTCTGAATGCAACTTACACCTCAAAAAGAAGGAGAAGGAAGAGGAGGACAAGGATTAGAAATCTTAGCTTTCTTCTTACCTTTTGTCTTGTTTTCAACCCATAAGTTAATATGCATTCTGGCTTCTTCTATGTTATTTTTAAAATCTAAATTTTCAGGTTTCAGTTTGTGTAATTGTTCAATACAGTCTAAATATTTCTATAAAGTGAACATAGAAAAAGAGATATAGCAAATAAATTATGATTTTAATACATTCAGACCATACATTATAGAAATTATATGTAAATACAGGGAGAAATAAGTAAAATATCATAATGCAGGACCAGACACAATTAATCAAATTATATACCTTCGTCATGTTTGAGGCAGATATTTAAGCAAATGCATAACTTACTAGAGAATGTTATTTCAATAAGAACACTTTTTTTTTCTTTTCAGCCTCTGAGATTGTACCCTATATCCATAACTGTATAATTAAGACAATCAGAGTTAGAATAATTAGTGTCCTCAGTCTAGTGTTCTAAGATATCAATTCCCCTTTTAATGTTTGAGGCAGATATTTAAGCAAATGCATAACTTACTAGAGAATGTTATTTCAATAAGAACACTTTTTTTTTCTTTTCAGACTCTGAGATTGTACCCTATATCCATAACTGTATAATTAAGATAATCAGAGTTAGAATAATTAGTGTCCTCAGTCTAGTGTTCTAAGATATCAATTCCCCTTTTATTACCAATATCAAAAATTAGTCAGTGTTGTTGTTGTTTTTAATCATAAACTATGTAAAATTTACGCTTTTTATTCTTCACCTGGACCTGTTAAATATTATTAAAATTGCTAGAAATTAACATCTGAAATTTAGAATTCTAAACCCTTTTATATTTTCATATGAAATAAAAATAAACATATAAAATATATTTCATATTCTCTATATAGCATCTATCTATCTATAATATCTCTATTTTCCTACAGTTTTGAGTAGAAACAATGCTAGGATAGATTAAATAAAGACAGAAAAGAAAGATTTATATCTTACTTAAAAAAATGTTTTATTTTAACTCACCGGGAGAAATGGATAGGCTTCTTCTGCAAAAATTCCACTTGCCATGTGAACTTGACTGTTGCTGGACTTGTTGATTTCAGAGAGGAATGCTTGAATGTGTGAATGGACCTCTGTATCTTGTTCGCACTAAGATAGTTAGAAAACTCTTGAGATAGGGGATTGTGGTAACTAGCACTCTAGTATGGTTAACAAGAGGCTCTCAAGTTTGCACTAGGACTTGCTATTTCAGGAAGAAAAAAAAAGAATGAAAAACTACTCATTCCACTATTTACACATATTGAAATTTTTACCTTTCACCAAAACGTGCAGCTTGACAATCTGATCATATGTGGAGAGCAGGCACCACATCAGCATATTACAATTACACTTACAGTCCATGCCCTAGTCCAAACTCATCCTGTCTTCTCCACCAGCCAGCCCAGAGTGCATAATATTATTGTTGTGACATACTAATTTGAGAACAGTTGACATCAGGAAAAAAATCTTTATGAAATTACATTTTCAAAAAATATTTTTGTGTGTTTGTGATTAATATTCCTATATTCATTTATAATTTTTGATCCTCGGTAAAAAGAAAAAAAGAGTTCATATTTATTGAGCACTCATTATATTCTAAGCACTGTTGGAGCACTTCTACTCTCTGGGTGGCTTTTGGGATTCCATTATGAAATGTCTTTGAGAATAGTCCCCCTTCTGCACTACTGCTCATGGGAGAAAATAGCCCTTCTTCTTAGAGACTAACTGTGTGCAGCTCAACTTTTTTGACAGCTTTCCTTTTGTCACCTTTTGTTTTCAAATTTCAACATAATTAATACTTTCAAAGCAAGGTAATAGGCGTTTGAGTGTATGTATCTACTTTCTAGATTCAAAGGACATCTGGAATAAATAATTTATTTCCATAAAGTTGTAGTCCTTATGGACTAAAGACGGACTGCCATAAGAGAAGTAAAAAATAAAGCAGAAACAATATGTACCTTTGCATTTGAAGAATTTGTAGTTCTTGTTAATTCACTCAAATGGAGCACCTACAAAGGAAAACAAAGAACTATTTTCAAAGGCTTTGCAAATGCAACTCCAAAATACCAGACAGAGACAAAAGAGTAGTAAACCATTTTCTTGCTATAAATGTTATGGCCTTTACATTTTTGTAAACTCTCTATTATTTACTCCATCTTTCCCTTATCTGCTTCTTAGTCTTGCTCCTCATTTAAAGAAAATAATATTATTTCGAAGAAGGAAGGTGAGTTTGAAAACAAAATCTTTTAAGTACTCTTAGGCAGCTTCTGAGTGTTAGAGAGTTAGGAACGGAGAGTAGGCACTAACCCATATGCTGGCGTATGTATAATCATCTGTACAGTGCTTCCAATAGACTACAAGTTGAAGGCTGAAAAGGGTATTTTTAAATCATTAAGCTTGGTCATTTGTGTTGTCACAATTTTGTCAATCCCTGCATTACCAGTTGTGAAACATAATAGGAACCCCGTATATATTTGTTGAATAAAGAATGAAAGAATGATTGTATGACTAAATGAATAATTTTGGTATCATTTGCAGGCAGTAAATATTATTTGTTACTCACTGATTATACAAATATGATGACTTGCATTCATATCACAGGTGATTGCTTTTAAATTACTTTCAAAAACATTATCTGATTTGATGCTCACTGTATCCTTTTGAGATTCCTGTAGTTTGTTTTATTTTTTTCATTACTAGTTAATACACTTTCTACAGTCCTATAGTCACAAAGCAACTATTGACTTAGATGAGGTGTAACCATAGCTTCCTAAGTTGAGTTATGAGCAGCTGAAATAAAACCTTGAGAACAATCAAAATAAAACACTGCAACTTTCTTCAAACATTTAAAGGCTGAGTGTTTTTAATAGGTTTTGTGTGCTTCCTGAGTATGAAAGTGGAATAAAGAGGCAATAAATAGAGAGCAGATATTATAACTCTGCTAAAATAAACATAGAAGAGGGCTTAATTTTTGTGCATGTGTCTTTTAAGAACAGAAAAAATGATAATGGAGCAATGGTTATCTAGAGGTAGACTTTAGCTCAAGGTGAGAAATAACATTCTTTTTTAAATTTATTTTTTAATTGAAACATAGTTGATTATACATATTTATGGGGTACAGAGTTGACTATCAGTACTTGTGTACAATATGTGATGATCCCCTCCTGTCTACTCAGCCTGACCACTCAAGGTGAGGGGCAGGGAGGGACACATGGACCTAGACACCAGGGTCTCAGTCCCTCTGTCCGGTCTAGGGTCCAGATAGCTGCAGTTGTGGTCCTGCCAGTGCCCATGTAAGCCAAGGCAAGCCAAGAATGTGGGGTACTGCTGCACCTCGGTAGATTTTTCTGCTCAGTAAGCCTGCTCGCTTGTCTGTGGGGAGGGGATGTTGCATGGGTTCAGTTGCTGGGGTCTTGGTCTTTCTGTCTGTCCTAGGCTCCAGGCAGCCTGTACCTTGGTCCCGCCAGCGCCTGTGTGAGCATCATAGAATATAGGCAGGGTCTCCAGACAAAGAGAGTCAGATTCACTGGGTCCAGGGCAGGGTGCAATCCCACTGTGGTTTTGACTCCCAGAAGGTGCTATGTCTCTGCTGCTCAGGGCAGGAGGGATTTTAATCTCCTTAGGCTCACTGTAAGAGTAGCTCATAACTAACTCCCAGCTACTCTCCAGCTGCACTTGGGTCCCGAAAAGATAGGGGGACTCTCTTGAAGCGGGATCACTGGCGTCTGTGGTGGTGGTGGGAACAGCTGGGGTCTCCTGCAGTTTACTTCCTCTCCTCCTGGTTCTGAGCCTCTGCAGAGGGGCAGAGGCTGGATGCCCTGCTCTGCTCTCTGTGGTGCCGTTCCCTTCTTCCACAAGGATCTCATCACTCTCCTGGTGTTCTGCAGTGTGTTTCCTCAGTCGTTCCAGTAAAAATATCTTTGTTTGTCTGTTGTTTTAGTCTCTTTTTTATGGGGAGGGGACTAGCACCAGACCTCTCTAGTCAGCCCTCTTGGGAAACTCTGAGGAAAAACTTTCTAACATTTAGAGCTCTTTGAATGTTTGTTATAAACTACTTCATACCATTAAGTTTTACCTTATTGGAGGACTTCAGAGAAACTGAACAATCTGTTGCCTGCTGCGTTAACAATGGAGATTTAATCACAAAGTAGAGACTTGGAATTTTATGAGGCTTTTTGTTTCTGAGATTCCCTGATGTCCCTTATATGCTAAAAAATAATATTATTCCATAATCCAGGAACTGAATAACTGGCAACCCCTGATGTTACTTCCAATATCACCATCATCATCATCATCGAAAGAAAGTGCAATTATTGAACAGGGCATTCTGAGCATTTGGCTCAGTCTTTGGATATTTTAGGAGAGAATCATTAAGAGGATGAAAATATGAAGGATATTTCTCCACTTTCTATGGAAAGCAGAGAAGAAAAAATTGGAATATTTTGATTCTCTTCTAACTCAGGCTGCTTGGTTGTCAGAAGAGAGAAATAATTATTTCCACTCCAGACTCTCTGCCTGACTTGTGTCCTCAGCACCATGAGCCATGCCATCTTTCTGGTTGCAAAACCCAAAGCATGAGCAAGTGTAGACAGAGCCACTAGCCAGTCTCTCGTGTTGAAGAAAGGGGGTGAAGAAGAGGTGACTCTACCCTATGTATCCACATCCCAAGATGACTTGTAAAGATTCCCACAGTTTCCTCGATCTCAACTATGTCTCCATCACCACAAATATGAATTTACTGAACACCTATAATGGTTGAGCCACTTGGGACCTATTCTTCCAATGCATAAAAAGAGAAACAAATAGAAAACACAAAGCTTCGCATTTAATTTTTCTTGTAATTAAAAATATCGCTATATTCATTTCCAGTTTAAATCCAAAATTGAGAGAAAACTTGTTCCACTAGTTAATCGTTTTCTTTACAATAAGGAGAATGGACTAAGTCATGATGAAGGATCCCTACTAAGAAATATTTCTTTCACTCACCTGAAGTTCTCAGTTGAGTTAAAGCACTAGTGACCTCCCTGGAAATGTAATCGTGCAGATTGTAAATTCTTCCCTTAGATTATAAGCTCCTAGATGGAGTTTATAATTTCTCGACAGCAGAAGCCTTGTGAAATATTCCTAGTGTAATCCACAGTCATTCATTTATTCAACCAGCAATTTTTTAGTGAACAGTCAAAATAGTTTTTGAACTATGTTCAAAAGTGCTCCTAAGTGCTGGTCACTGAACATTTACTATGCACAGGATACAATTTAGCATAATCCTGAACAGTTTATGTATTCTTATTATCTGACTTGGGTTATCCATTTGCATCTTAAAACAGATTTCTTTCAGTTCACCTAGCACAAGGTTGTGTTTTGAGGAAACAGAACACATGAGAAGGGGTAGGTCTCATCTGGGAGAATGCTTCAGGAAGCATTTTCGGATACTGACCCATAGCAGGAAGGCTCTGAAAAGCTAAAAATGCACAGGCGGCGGTGGAGGTGGGGACTCCTAATTATTCCCCTGGACAGGTTGTCCTCATTGAGTGCATCATTGAGTTCAGGTCTCTGTTATGTCTCTTCTTCCCCTGCTCCTGAAAACAGAGCTATAAGAACTCTTGCTTTTTACAACCCTTTTTTAAAGAAGCAATTTCCTAGGAAACCTTAAGTGAAGGTGGACAGTCTCTTGTGTTTACAGAGTTCAGTGTCTATGAAATCTCCATACACAACAGTGTTTGAACTTATCACCTAATTGCCTTCTAGACATGGATGAAAGTGTGTTTGTAACATACCTTTTCCATCTGAGATGCACTGTCACCTCTAGCCCCAAAAAGCACTACAGCCAGGGCAGACAGGAGAGCCACAGGAGAAAAGAAGAGATTCTCAATCATGTGGTCATAGCTCATTTCTTTAAAGACATCAAAGCAGAACTGTGCATTTGCTGCACTGAGTGAGCCCATTCCTCTACCTAGGGTCTGGAATACAAAGCAAGCATCAACAACAACAAAAATACAGGTTGAAACACCATTCTTCAGCAATTTATTTCAAATTAGGGCAAGAGTTACTTCTATTTTGTCAACCTAAATGCTCACAGAGGGGCTTTTCGGAAGGAAAAAGAATGCACACTTTGGAATCAAATGAATTTGGAATTTGCCACATTCAAACTTTAGGACTAGTTACTTAAGTTCTCCTGGCCTCTATTTCCTCTTCTGCAAAACCATTTAAATAATGACTTCCCATCAGAATTAGTGCAATGATTAAATTATGCAGTGTTTGTAGAGTTCCCAGGACAGTGCCTGCATATAGTAGGTGGTCAGGTATGGCAGTAAGTGTTGTTGTTATCATTGTTGTTGTTGGTTTAGGTTAGTTTACTTGGTCAAGGTAATAATAAAGAGGACAAGGTAATAGTTTTGATCCAGATAGAATCATGACCTTGCTGAGTCTTGAAAGTGTACAGAAAAGGAACTGAAGGAGAGAGTAAGGATGCTCCAGCCGAAACCCATTACCACCACTGGAAAGACATCTCAGTGCACATCTCCTCGCAGCAGCACCATCAGCATAAATGATGGAGAGCGTTACTTTATATATGTTTTTAAGAAGGGGAAGAAATATAACTAAGCAAGTTAGATTATTCCACTTTCTTCTTTGAAATCATACTCAAATATTTATCGAGGAACATAGAGCTCCCTGTACTAGGGTCTGCAGGACTGGCAGAGCTTGCCATGGCGTGGTGCCTTCCTCAAGTACTTCTCCCAGCCACACCAGGGCATAGAAACTCTGAGTCTCTCCAAAGGAGCTTGTAAAGCCATGCAAAAGAGAAATTCCAGAAAGAAGGGCATTCCTGCCTTCCTTGCTTCATTCACTGAATCCCCCTTGCATTGGACATTATCTGGAAGAATAAAGCTAGAGGATAACTCAGAAAGCTCAATATTTCTGCTTCTGCCTGGTGCCTGGCACTGAAGTCAGTGCCACGTGGAATAAGCAAACAGGAGCCCTGATACTGCGGAAATGTATTCTAAATTTCCCTTTCCTAGGGCTGGCTGTTTTGAAGAGCCACTGTAGTGCTGGTACTAGGATTAGGGAAGACCCTAGGGCACAAAATTTAACAAAGCACTCATTTTGATTAGTCACCTGTGTGCTTGCAAGACCCTGAGAGTGAGAGAGAGGGGCTCTTTAAGAATTTACTCTTAACGTGAAATTTAAGGAGGCACTTGTACTTGTGCTAGTACAAGTACAGGTCCAACACCTGAGAGTCAGTGCCTCCTTAAATTTTGCACACTTGGGAGTCTTGTTTACCTCACCCTCTCCCTGGCTGTGCTTAGGGCACCTGGTCAGGGTTTGGGATGTTGGAGACTGCAAGTCTATATTTTTGGTGGCTGTATTATTATCTTATATGGCACTGCAGATACTTTAAAGGGCTTCCCTTAAGATATTAGAATTGTAGTGATCCTTTCTTCCTCTGCTGTTGTTGCAAATGGAGCACCTCATACTATCAAAGCCAAGACGTCTGAGAAAAATGTCTTGATCTCCTCTGTGTTTCAAAAGGGGAAAGAGACTCATTACGGTAAGTTTCCTAAGAAACACATGAAAAGCAAAACTCATGGTTGCTGGATTTGGGTGAGAATATTAGCAGGAAAGTCGTAATTCTTTCTTCTGAAAGATTTAATTTGTATTATGACTTGCCAATATCCAGAGACCCCCCAGCAACTTTCCCAGCCTAGGGACATGGTTCCAATAAAATGGCTTTAAGAATTCCTGCACAGAGAAGAGCCAGGTTAAATAATTTGACTGGCTGGCTGGTGGACATTTCATAGGGACTAGGAATTTTACCACGTGCTTGAAAAGATATCACTCTCTTCATATCAACCCAGAAGCTAAAGATATCAATGTGTCTCTGCTGCCTCATTGTCATATGACTAGAATGTCATATGACTAGAATTTCATATAACTGAGAATGTCATATAACTTGGGGGGAGGGAGATAAGTGGGGGTTCGATGGGGTTCAAGTCACAAGAAAATAGAAATAAATATAAGACACAGTACTGTTTGTGAAACACTGACCCATTGGTTTTTCTTCCCCTCACTCCACTGTTTGAGAAGCCTGATCCCTGGTAGCTTACATGACCACCCAACAATCAAAAACCATTCTCTGGCTATAGCAGATAATTCTAATTAGATCCACAGAATCCAAGAAGCATGTTTGCTCTGCTTAAGGGATAATCGGTTGAAATGGGCAATCATGGATCTTTGCAAGGGAGAGATTTTAAAGCAGAAAAACTTAAGTCCCAGTATAAACTTTGCCTTTTGATACATACATAGTAATTTATTTGACTTCTCTGAACCTGTAAATATAAAATAGAGATTATAGCAGATACCTTACATTGTTGTGAGCATTACATGTGACAATGACTATAAAGCCTCTATTCTGACAAGTTACTCAATAATATTATCTTTCTTCCCCCTCTGAGAAATATGGATTTAACTCAAAGAATAGTCATAGATTTGAAAAGAAAAATATCAGTCCCCAAATTCATTCTACAAATGGGCAAACTGAGGTAAGCTTAGTAAGGTTACATGACTTGCTGAAGTCCACACAGCTAGAAAACATCAAATTTACAATTAACACACAATTTTTCTGATTCCCTGTCTAGCATCTTTTCTTCTAATTTACCAGATAGAAACATAACCTTGAAAAAGAAGATCTAAATTTTGATGCTGCGTGGCACAATTTCTCCTTAAGTGTTTGTAAGCATTTACAAATTACTCATTCAGTTTTAGTTCTGTCATCTGTCAGTACTCACCTTAACCTAGCAATAAAAACTGGCAATAGGAATGGCTCTCCACAACATCAAACAGCTCACTCAGTAGCTGCAAAGAGAACAACGCTGCCTTGTATTAAATTTGTGCCTCCCGCCCCCCACTTACCCCCCACATCAAAGCATCTCTCATTGCCCCTTTCCTTTGGTTATAAATAAATGCTTTCCCCCATACTTTCTGAGAAGTGTAAAGTCATCACCAGCTACAAAAATCATTTCAAGGAAGGTACGATTTAGTGTTTGCATATTTACCTCATCTTCAGGCTGCTCCACGTTCTGCTTGGTGAGCCCAGAGCTATGTCCTTAATACACAGACACCACTCAGCACTGCGATTGCTCCTCCCCCGTCTTTTTAGACTTTGGTTTCACAAGTCATTTTTCCTTGCATTGTGAAGTGATTTAAAGTACTTATAGAAAAGGGTAGAGAGTGAGCCAGCTAACATGTGCCTTGTACGACACACTGCTTCCCTGAGTCAACACAATGACCCAAGAGATGCACAAAAATATTAATGAAACATTTAATGCCATGCATTTTATACCATTTGAATACCATTTTATAATTATAAAACAAATTAGATGTTTAAAAATTAAATGTAATGTGTATGCATATATTGCATTCACCCTCTGGCTGTGACAACCAATTATGGTGTCTCAAAGCCAGAGAGGAGGCACTTTGTCTTGGGAACTGGTAGCATGTCTCTTTCCCTGACTCTGGGATGAGCCACAGTGAATGAAATGCTGTTCTCTCTGGCATAGAGGCATCCTGGAATGGAGCAAGCCTTGTTGAGTAAGGGTTTCAAACATATCTCTTGGCAAAGGTAGGCAGGATTCCCATTCAAAGCAAACTACAAATTAGCTATAGACCCACCTTGGAAAAAGACCAATATAGTATCTTAGAATGTTAGAACTGAAGAGGACTTAGCATACATCTCTTCAGAAATTTGCAACCCCAACTGAGAAATAATTATTATACTGAGATCCAGAACATATATTCAAAACTGAAACAGGAATTTTACACACAAAAAATACTTCTCCATACTACCAATGATGCACTCATATTTCCTTTCTCTATTCTATCCATTTTCATTTTTTAAATAAATACTAAATTCACTAAGCTACTTTAACAACCCACTAATAGGTCCCATCTCACAATTTGGAAAATACTAATATATTCCAATGGCCTCATTTTTCAAAAGAAGATATTAAGTACTAGGTAAGTCCTTTCACACTTTTCATAAACTGGAAAGGTTTAGTCTTCCCAAATTATTTAGAACATAGAAGTAACTTACATACAGGATAATTTTGTGTGTTTGTGTTCAATTCACCCCCAGAAGATTTTATCTATCTATTGATATTAGGCATACAGGTTGAGTTAATTTATTTTATCTGATTTCCCTAGGAACTTTTGACTTTCATTTTATCCCTATAGATTAAACTAATATGCCTTAAGCATGTTTTTTTCTAAAAGTAAAGATACATGCTTTTGCCTTTTTCATAAAGAATCTCCCTAACAAATTATTAGCTAACACTAATTGGGTACAATTAAAATCAAATCCGGGTGCTCATACTAGCTCCTTTTATCAAATTATGCCCATGTATACATACACAGAAGGAAAAGCTTGTACTTTTTAAAAAAGAGTGGCCAAACTACAAATATATCCAGAGGAAGAAGAATATAATTAATGGGAAAAAAAGATTAAAGTAAGTTTTAAAAAGGGGTGAGGGAGTGTTGAAGGGCAGGATTTAGGTTCTTTGTATCATAAAATGACCCCAGATTTGTGTAATTTGTGTAAGTAATATAAAAGCAGACAACAAATATAGATAGTTACAACAGGAAATGTACCCAATAGTTTTCTTTACAAAACTTTATAGTAAATTGATAGGGAATTTTATAAAATTATTGTACACACAGGGATAAAAGTTTAGATAACAGTCTTTGGCAAACGCCCACCCTCTCAGACAACTGAGCAGTGTTTGACTTTACCCTGAGAAGTATGAAAAAGAAATGGCACTAAAGCCAGTGGGAAAATGCCTGATGGTTCAGCTTGGTTCTTAGATTTTCAGAAGGGAAAAGAGGAAATAAAACAAACTAATCATTTGTAATGTTAGTGAGAGACATCCAGGATGCATGGGCTATATTCTCC